ACAATGCCAGTATTTGGATATAGTAGCCACATGATTGCCCCCCAAAATCTATAACAATTTTTTAGAGAATGACTATGTTTGTTTCAGTGTCGCGTGAACCTTGAGGGAACGAGATTGCTAGTCTTGGAAGCAGCTGATCAGTTAGATCGGCTAGGAAACAAGAAAGCACGTGGGACGATTGACATGGCAAGGTAAATTTTCTTACATCTAATTGAAGTTATTTAAGTTCCTGACCTTTCCTAAATGCTTTAAACCTATCTTTGGAGTAGAAGAATCACTAGAATATTGAACAAAAAGTCAACCTATCTAATTGTCATTCTTTCGGACTTACAAACATCTTAGTTACCACGGCATGTTCAAATTAATTTTTATTTTGAAGAAGAAAAAACATCAATTTTTTTAGTTTGATCATATGGGGTTTTGAATCTCTTGACCACATGATCCAAATTATATATATCTAAATTGGTTAAACTCAACAATATTAACTTTTTAAACAAAAAGAATAGCTCCCAAATGGCGCAATCATTTTTGTTGCATCTTTATTAAAATTTATTTATCACTCCAAAACCTTCAGATTTATGAGTTGTATTTTTTACTGATCACAAATTTTTATATTAATCTAATATGAGCTAATGAACTTCCCCTCAATAACAAAGAATTACTTATAATAAGAAAAAAAAACTTAATTAAAATATGTAGCATAATCAACTAAGATTTTGAATACAAGATTACCAAAAATTAACTAAATTAACCTAAATTTATAGTAAAAATTAGCTAAATTTAGATACGAAAATTTAATTTAAGAAAAAAAAAAAAGTAAAAATGATTGGTCTAGAGTGCTCCTAACTCTAACGATATTTACTTCAATTTAGAAATTCTGTTAAAATTTTCTCATATAAAAACAGGTCATTTGTTGAACAGAAAGAAATCAAGACAGCAACTTCCTATCTTCTATTACCCAAGAAAACAAAACAAAAAAAAAAAAGAAAAAAAAGAAAAAAGAAAACAGCTTGAGAGAAGAAACATGGCGTATGACGGCGGTGGATGCAAGAACAATAAGGCTGCCCTGGTTGGGTTGTTGTCTCTGTTTTTTGTTGCCTTGGTTAACGGTGTAAGTGGCGCAGGAGAGGAACCTGGCTCCTCTAATGCTGCCATTAAGACTCTATGTGAGCCCACTACTTATCGTGAAACTTGCGAAGAAGTCCTGGTGAAGTCCAATGTTGACTCAAAAGACCCACGTGAGTTGGTCAAGGCAGGGTTCCATTTTGCTATTGAGCAGCTCAAAGCGGCCATTGCAAATTCCCCCACTTTGAAACAAGCCGCCACTGACCCCATGGCGCAAAAAGCAGTTGATGCTTGCGACGAGCTCATGGATTATGCAATTGATGATCTTTTAACTTCCTTTGATAAAATCACCGATAGTTTTGATGTACACAGAGTGAATGCTTATCTTGAGAACCTTAGGATTTGGTTGAGCGCTGCATTGACATATCAAGAAACTTGTTTGGATGGTTTCGAGAATGTTCCTGGCGATACTGGTGAAAAGATGAAGAATTTGTTGAAGACGTCAAGAGAAATGACCGCCAATGGACTTGTGATGGTGGGTGAGGTTACATCCCTTGTGAGCACTTTGTGGGAGAAGTTGGGACTGCTGCCACAATCGGGGCGACAACTTCGAACGGAGGAATCCAATGAATACCAAGCGGGAGAGCCATCTTGGGTGAGCGACAGGCGAGGGCTACTCGAGGCCACTGGAGCTAACATCAAGGCGAATGTGGTGGTGGCTAAAGACGGAAGTGGAAAGTACAAGACAATAACTGAAGCCCTTAAAGAGGTACCATTGAAGAGCAATACAACCTTTGTGATTTATGTGAAGGAAGGAGTTTATGAAGAGCAAGTGTTGGTGGACAAAAAAATGACCTATGTCATGGTGATTGGAGACGGCCCGACTAAGACCAAAATCACAGCTAGCAAGAATGTCATTGACGGAACACCCACATTCAAAAGTGCTACCTTTGGTAAGTTACCATCTAGTTTATAATCATATTCATACGAATTCAATAATTGAATTTAACATGATTTCATATTCTTAACAGCGGCGATCGGATCCAACTTCATTGGAAAAGACTTGTGGTTCGATAACTCAGCTGGGCCTAAGAAACACCAGGCTGTGGCACTCCGAGTTCAATCCGACATGTCAATCTTCTACAATTGTAGAATGGACGCCTATCAAGATACTCTCTACCCCCAAACCAAACGTCAATTCTACCGAGATTGCACAATCTCCGGTACCGTTGATTTCATCTTTGGCAATGCTGCTGTCGTGTTACAAAACTGTAAGATCTTAGTGAGGAAGCCAATGCCGAATCAAACTTGCTTTGTCACTGCCCAAGGTCGAGTGGAGATTGATGAGCCCACTGGTATCGTCCTCCAAAATTGCATTATCTCTGCCGACCCTGAGTTCTACCCCATTCGCCATACCAGTAAGATCTTCCTTGGTCGCCCATGGAAAAAGTATTCAAGAACCGTGATCATGCAATGCCAACTCGACGACTTGATCCATCCTGAAGGATGGATGCGATGGAGTGATGATTCTACTCTCAAGACTTTGTTTTACACAGAGTTTGATAATAGAGGACCTGGTGCAGCAAAAGAAAATAGAGTCAAGTGGGAGGGAATTAAACAAATCACAGCAAAACAGGCTATCAATTTCACCCCTTCTTTGTTTATTCAAGGTGATGATTGGATCAAGCATAGTGGAATACCGTACACAGGTGGCATGATGAAAATCTAAAACCAAGAGAATAGAATTCATGAGTTAGAAGCTTTTTGACTGTTTATTCGTGGTAATCCCTGGATTAGGCGGGCATGACAATGGTCTAAAACCAAGGGATAGGACAAAATTATATTTAAAAACATTAATTTATCGTTCATTTTGAGATTTTGAATAAACAATTTTTTCTCTTTTTTGGGATCCCGTTACAATATGTTATAATTTAATTTTTTTTTAATATTCAGATTAAAGTATTCTACCAGCTACCCAATATTTGGGGATCCTTTCCCAGAATCCATACGGGTTTGTCTGGATATGTACCCATATTTTTCCGCTGCGTCGTGCATTTCGTGTCATTACCCTTTTTCCCGCTTCGATTTGTCTAGATGTGATCCAAGTGGGTTCAAGTGCTTGAATAGTGTATCTATTGAAGCAAATATGATGATCCAAGCGGGTTCAAGTGCTTGAATAGCGTATCTACCGAAGCAAATACGATTGCCTCTTTCATTCTTCCTTTACGAAATTTTGTTCTTTTCGAGTTATAGTCTAAATAATTTTATCAATTAAGATCAAATCAATTTAAAAATTGTTAATATATAAATTTTATGAGGAATAATCTTCAATTTTTTTTTTTTTACTTATTTGAAAATTATTTATGATATCAATTTAAAACTTATTTGAAAATTATTTATGATTTTAGAAAAATTGTATGCAGATTTTTAATCAAATCAAGAGGAAATAATTATAAATCACTCCACTAAATTTCTAAATAAATTTAGTTTATAAAAGTATTTATTTAGAAATTTAAATCTTAAAATTAGGCTCAATTATTAAATTATTAGGATTTTTTTTTTTTTGTTAATTTCTACTAAAAAAATGAATATATTAATAATTTTTTCAATAAAAATGAAAATATGGACATTTTTTCTTTATTATACGAAAATTTGTTATTGTTATTTAACCAATTGATTGAGTTTTAATGAATTATTAAAAAAAGAAAACATAACATTTAAACATAAAAATAAATTAAAAGAGGACAAAAATAGTATTTTAATTTATTTTAAAATTTACTTTTTTAAGAAAATAAAAAATTAATAGTCGTAATAGTATTTTAGTTATGGAATTAATAGAACGTCGAATAGAAAATTTGAAGAATTACATATAAATGTACAAAAAGAATTGAGCATGTCATATGACAAAAGAGAAGTGTTCATACATGCAAAAATTAAGCATGCCATATGACCATAAGCAACACATAAGTGTTCATACATCCAACAACTAAGCATGACATATGATCATAAGCAAGACAGAAGTGTTCATACATCCAACAACTAAGCAAGACAGAGACATTGAATAGACATGAAGAGTAAAGATAGGTTTGTTGAAGGGCAGGATAGGGCCTCGGGCCTTAACCTCAAAAAGTACATGCGGTTCAGGATTTAAGTCCATCCATATTAAATATGAATGCTCGCCAAATTTGGTGTCAATCGGACACCGAACAGACAATGCTTCACCAAAATCATGTCTGAAAATTGAAAATGACTTAAAATGTACGGGTACCATGGTGTTAGCTCTCCACCACCCTGGCCTTGTAGTCTAAGTGAGCTAACCTGTGGCACATACGTGTGTCACAGTGTGGGCGAGCGTGCTAAGATGAGTGTCTCGGGCAATTTCCTTTGAAATGGATTTTTGTAGGATAGTATCAGACGGCACCGATGTGCCGGTATTGTGCCCTAGCCCGCGTGTTCGAGGTTGCTACATACACCCGCTATCTGGTACGGTATTCGTAAATGACTCGGCATGGGCAAGGGAGGGCTAATGTCTTGATAGAACTCGGATGGATGGATGTTTGGGAAGTCCCAATGAGATGAAAGACACGCGGACCCATTCTCCATGGCATGACTGAGCGAGTTATGATGGCCGACGACATCCTGAGACTCGGGGTGGCGTCAAGACATATGGACCCTGTCGATGGGGATCGAGATGAAAAGATGAGATGCGACGTTGCATTGAGAGACCTTGGCTCGAGTAGAGGCAAGGTCGAGCCGAATGACTTGGCCTAGTGTAGAGGCAAGTCGGATGTGTTGCAGACAATTGAACATGCACGTGCAGGCGGCGTGTGTGGTTGAACAAGTTTGGATTCCACATAAGCGATATTCGATTGGCGAAGACAAACTTCGCCCAAGGTCCGACGAAGCCACAAAGCCGGAGTGAAAAATATATATGGGGCTTGATTCCCCTTAAGGCTAGTCGTGAGCGTGTCAATATCACGATGCCACACGGTAAAAAATGTAGGACCGTGACCCTGAGCAGAGTTCCTTCCTTTCAAACAATGCCAGTATTTGGATATAGTAGTCACATGATTTCCCCCCACCCCCTTATAACAATTTTTAAGAGAATGACTATGTTTGTGTCAGTGTCG